AGGCTGAAACACTCCTTATAACTTCAGTATGAGTGGGCGGGGCTAAAGTGCTATAGACTGAATAGGTGGATGTATGTTGGATTTCATGACATCACAGCAATGAATTGAAAACAGCCGAATATTTTTACAGGTACACAGTCAGAAAATAGGGTAGCTGTCACTTTAAATTTTGGTTCGCCAAGGTACAAACAATGTAAGTGCACCTTCAGGGGTGCAATGTGGTCCATAATGTCCAAATGTGTACCTTAAGTGAGTTTTAGAGGTTCACTACATACTTTCTCACGTTCAGTTCATAAAATAATTTAAACTGCAATAAAATATGGTACAATCGTGTTCACACTATGTGAATGTATTGAAGATGTACCCTTGACGGGACCACCGCAGTGACTGTGTTTATACCCTGACAGGAACAGATTTTTCTGAGAAACCACATACGCAAGTCTATTTGAGATTCTTTAACAGCTCAACACAGTTTGAGGCAAGTGCGATGATGTAGACAGTTCGACTGACTCAAATTAGTGAGGTAACACTCTTGCAGGGCCAGACTTCATCCTGTATTTGGGCTGAATGTGGGTGAAACAAACTGGCTGTGAACTGTTTAAAACGATCAAAATCCTTGTGAGGGTGCAGCTCAAAGTACAGGATGATGGTGCACTGGTCAACACTGTCCAACAGATGACAAGCCTGTTGTTAGCCCATGGCTGTTACCTAAGCTGGCATGGCTGCCCCAATAATCAACTGATCCATTTTAAATGCCTAAACCCTTTATAAACTTGTTCTATATAGAACCATCTATAGCATGTTCATGCATATTTTCATCAATCTAAACAACCATCATGATGCAAAGAACCCTTTAATCATACAAAGGGTTTTTTGAGTGTTCATGGTTCTATATAGAACCATTTTCTGTACTAAAGAACCCTTGAAGAACCAGTACCTTTAAGAGTGTAGTGGAATAAAGTCAATAAAAACAATAAAAATACAGTATTTTTTATTTGAAAATAGCTCTGGCATAATTAAAGCGTTCTTTGCATCATAAAAGGGTTCTTCAGATTGATGGAGAATGTGCTGTAGGTGGGTCTATATAAAACCTTTTTGAAGGGTTCTACATAGCATCGAAAAAGGTTCTTCTATTGATGCAAGCCCGATATTATCACAATAGAAACACTCCAGCTATAGGTTATATTGGACACCATGGAAATGCTTTCTTACAACATCCCTACTGCAACCATTATCCACAACAACTAATGGGAACGTTTTTGCGTATGTTGTGGGAATGTGGGGTTGTTACTGACTTCTGGATAAAGGTTACTACCATATTATCTGCACTGGTGCGGCAAGAAATTCCTGTGGATCCAGCTAAACGATGAGTCCAATTTAAAATTAACAGGAAAACGAAGGAAGACATGACTCACTGGTTTAACATCGGCTTAAAAAATCACTGCACAGAGGTGGCTTCACCCACAAGTGTACCTAAGTGTACAACATTGGCTATTGCAACTACATGACATATTGGCCACAGCCAGAATTAATAAAGTTAAAACATCTACTCTCGAGACATGATTTGTTTTGATGTGACGAAAAGACTGGAACCAATGCTATGATGTACATCTTACAGGCTAACATTCCCTTTTTTTGGAATCTCATCCTTTTTTATTAAATCTTATTTAGTATATTGTTAGAAAGGTGTGTACAGAGAATGGGGAGGGATGGAGAGGGAAAGGGGGTTGCTTTTGATTTCCTTTAGTTGTGATAAAGAGCTGCTTCATTAACAGAAAACAGGCCCTACCCTTCTATCTCGACACAAATCGGGACACCCTACCCCTAGACGTGAGGAGTAGGGCTCGTGACACTATTGATGAATCTTAACTCTGAAGAAGCCCCATGAATGAGCTGATAAGGAGAAATCCATGAGCCCCAAGACATGCTGGGAAATGAACGCCTGAGGATGCCAAGTCTCAATGAAGTGATTATTTTTTTCTTTGCCAGCTTTCTGAAGGTTACCTCCATACTTATCTATCATAAATGTCAACATGCAAATCCCGCTCTGTCTCTCTCTCTCTCTCTCTCTCTCTCTCTCTCTCTCTCTCTCTCTCTCTCATAATGATTAGTTCCTCGGGGCTCAGATATAATATTGCTCTCTGTGTCAAAATATCAGCCTGCAAGATCTTCTCTGAGATTGAACGTGTTTTTCTGGCTTTGAAATGACGCTGACAAATGTAAACATGTAACCGGCAGCCTAAGCCGCACATGTTTACAATCACACCAGGAAGCGACCGTTCAAATCCACAGCTTGATCAAACCAAAAAAACTAACAGCAACATGCACGTACATGCAGGGACAGGATGAATGAGTTCCTTTGACCTACAACGTCCACTGGAAGCTCGTATAAGGAACCTTATGAATGATTAATCAGAGCACTTCAATAGCGGCTGCGTGTCGGGCCTGGCCCGTGGGTGGCTGGTCTCAGGCCATTAAAAAAAAGAGCACAGGTCAGCCAGTGAGCTCATGCTGGGCACTGCTGGGATCCCCCCAGCACTATCCTTCAATGTTCATCCACTGTAGCCACAGCTTGTGTCTCCACAGGCTTCAAACGGGCCAGATGTGGACGGCCTGGAGACACACACTGCACTGGTGTCTGCAGGAGCCATTTCAGTGTGTGTGTGTGTGTGTGTGTGTGTGTGTGTGTGTGTGTGTGTGTGTGTGTGTGTATGGTTATGGTGATGTTACATGTTTTATTCGAGCTGCGCTTTAATCATAAATCATGCTGTGTTTTAGTCTAAATCATGCTAAGTTTAAGTCCTAAATCATGCTGAGATTTAGTCTGAATCATGCTGAGCTTTAGTCCTAAATCATGCTGTTTTAGTCTGAATCATGCTAAGTTTAAGGCCTGAATCATCCTGCATTTTAGTCTAAATCATACTAAGTTTAAATGCTGAGTTTAGTCTAAATCAAGCTAAGTTTAAGTCCTAAATCATGCTGAGTTTTAGCCTGAATCACGCTAAGTTTAAGTCCTAAATCATGCTGAGTTTAGTCTAAATCATGCTAAGTTTAAGTCCTAAATCCTGCTGGGTTTTAGTATAAATCATGCTAAGTTTAAGTCCTAAATCATGCTGAGTTTAGTCTAAATCAAGCTATGTTTAAGGGCTAAATCATGTTGAGTTTTAGTCTAAATCATGCTAAGTTTAAGTCCTAAATCATGCTGGGTTTTAGTATAAATCATGCTAAGTTTAAGGTCTAAATCATGCTTGGTTTTTAGTACTAAATCATGCTAAGTTTAAGCCCTAAATCATGCTAAGTTTAAGTTCTAAATCATACTTAGTTTTAGTCTAAATCATGCTAAGTTTAAGCCCTAAATCATGCTAAGTTTAAGCCCTAAATCATGCTAAGTTTAAATTCTAAATCATGCTAAGTTTAAGTCCTAAATCATGCTGTGTTTAGTATAAATCATGCTATGTTTAAGGGCTACATCATGTTGAGTTTTAGTCTAAATCATGCTAAGTTTAAGTCCTAAATCATGCTGAGTTTAGTCTAAATCAAGCTATGTTTAAGGGCTAAATCATGTTGAGTTTTAGTCTAAATCATGCTAAGTTTAAGTCCTAAATCATGCTGGGTTTTAGTATAAATCACGCTAAGTTTAAGTCCTAAATCATGCTGAGTTTAGTCTAAATCAAGCTATGTTTAAGGGCTAAATCATGTTGAGTTTTAGCCTGAATCACGCTAAGTTTAAGTCCTAAATCATGCTGTGTTTTAGTCTAAATTATGCTATGTTTAAGTAATAAATCATGCTTAGTTTTAGTACTAAATCGTACTGGGTTGTAGTACTAAATCATACTAAGTTTAAGTTCTAAATCATGCTGTGTTTTAGTCTAAAACACGCTGAGTTTTAGTCCAAATCATGCTGAGTTTTAGTCCAAATCATGCTGTTTTAGTACTAAATCATATTGTGTTTTAGTCTAAATCATACTAAATTTTAGTCCAAATCATGCTGAGTTTTAGTCCTAAATCATGCTGAGTTTTAGTACTAAATCATGTTGTGTTTTAGTCTAAATCATGGTAAGTTTGAGCCCTAAATCTGTGTTTTATCCTAAATCATGGTAAGTTTAAGTACTAAATCATGCTGATTTTTAGTCTAAATCATGCTAAGTTTAAGTTCTAAATCATGCTTGGTTTTTAGTACTAAATCATGCTAAGTTTAAGCCCTAAATCATGCTAAGTTTAAGCCCTAAATCATGCTTGGTTTTTAGTACTAAATCATGCTAAGTTTAAGCCCTAAATCATGCTAAGTTTAAGCCCTAAATCATACTTAGTTTTAGTCTAAATCATGCTAAGTTTAAGCCCTAAATCATGCTAAGTTTAAGCCCTAAATCATGCTAAGTTTAAGTCCTAAATCATACTTAGTTTTAGTCTAAATCATGCTAAGTTTAAGCCCTAAATCATGCTAAGTTTTAGTCTGAATCATACTGGGTATTAGTCTAAATTGTGTTTTAGACCTGCTGGGTCATGCTGTTTAAATCGAAGTACAGAATCATGCTGAGATTTAGTCTAAAGTATGTCAGGTTTAATACTAAATTGGTCTGGATTTTAGACCAAGTCGTGCTGGGCTTTAGTCTGAGCTGTTCTGGCTCTGTGTGTGATCGATGACTGAACTGCACTTGCGAGCAGCACAAATTTCACTCAGATGTGGCTTTTAGATCCGCAGAAACTGCAAAACAGACAAGAGAAAGAGTGAAAACAGAGAGGGGGGGGGGCGAGCGAGAACAAAAAGAGAGGAAAAGGTAGATTAAAAAAAAAGAAAGAGATGGAATAGAGATGGAAAAACAGAAAGAATGTGTGAAAGGGACGAAAGAAAAATAAACCGAGAAAGTGAGTGAGAGGGAGAGAAAGAGAGAGAGAGGGAGAGGTGACTGAGTTTGTACTGTGTGTGTGTGTGTGTGTGTGTGTGTGAGAGAGAGAGAGAGAGAGAGAGAGAGAGAGAGAGAGAGAGAGAGAGAGAGAGAGAGAGAGAGAGAAGGAGGCGGTTCAGTCTCTCTCTCTCTGTAGCTTAAAGTGAAACGGGGGCGAAAACCCGATGAGGGTGAAGAAAACACTTCTGCATGTGTGGATTAACGGTGGGAACATTTTTGCTTCGTGTAGAAAAACTGCGAGAGGTCCGACGGCGCCAGACCTCAAACCTTAACGAGAAACGGTGAGAAATCACGGATAAATGTTTGTTTATTCTCCGGTATCGAGCGCCGCTTTCTTTCTCAAAGCCCAGCACAGCGCTAACGATAGCTTAGCCTAGCTTAGCGGCGCGGCTAGCAGCGTTAGCTGAAGGGGAGATGACAATGAGAGATACAACAAAAGTCAGACATTTTCTAGGCGAAACGCAATCCTGCCTAATGTAGGACCTGCTTACTGTTGTTTTTAAGCTGTCTGCGTCTGTGTGCTGCGAGTATTTGGTCGAAAAGATGAACGTTTCGCTAAGTTAGCTCCGGTTAGCAGGCTAGCTGAGTGTTATTGACCAACGGTAACCTGGATTTTATTCAGTAATCTAAAATTTAATTTAAGCTGTCAGGAAAGAAACGGCAGCTTAAGGCTTTGGTACTGGGCTAAAACCGTGATTTTTTTCTCTTGAACATGTAGGTTGAGTTCTGAGAAACAACGTGTGTTGATAAAATCGCACATTATAGTGAGTTTTCTGTGTTTTTACTTTGTTTTTTAATGGATGTGTGACAGTTTATTAAGCTAGACATCTCGCTCTGAGGTGTTTACTGCTGTCGTCCTAACGGGTAGTTCAGCAGATGTAACGTCGACCACGTTACGCTGTGCAAGTTAAATCTGCTTTAACCTGTATTACCAGCTGCTGATTTAGCTCCACGCCTGGTTACTGTGATTTGAACGGTGGAGAGTGTTCAATGTGGATGTCCTGACCTCAGTGTAACTTCATTAAAACCTAAATATAACCCCTGGGCGATATGGATAAAATATAATATCGCGATGCACATTGTCACGATATTTATTTATTTATTTTTTGCTTCTGGTAAGTTTGAACAGACAAAATAGTGCCCCATTTTATACTCTCTTCTTAAGAAAACATGCAGTTGGGAAGTGATTTTTAAGTACTGACCATTTCCACAATACACTCAGAAAAGCATATTGTGTTGTAATTTATCACAATAATGATGAATTTTGATACATTGCCCGGCTCTACCCATGGGTGTGATTCATTATGCTATAGAAGGATTACATATTGCGTATATTAGCTTACGTATCATCTTCCTAGAGGTGCAGTTTGTTAGGTGGTTTACTGGTGGTAGATTCGAAATGGAAGAGGAGTTAAAGTTAAGTCTGTAACTTAAACCACATTATTGTTTCTATTCCTCAGTCTGTAAGTCGTGGCGCTTCTGCATGGGCAGCATTTCTGAGCCCTTATACTTTCACCACGTTAAAAACGTAGCCTATGATTTGGTCTCGGAAAGTGATTCAAGAGTACTAGAGGTGGCGATATGGCAAAATGTTCAGGAGGTTTTTTCATGATACGCAATATGTCACTATATTTATTTTTTCTGATGTCTGATGAGTCAAACAAAGTAATCCACATTTTAAAACATACTATAAAAAAACATGAATCCACGGTGCTGCACTAAATCCATCTAAACAGGACTAATTACGTTGGCAAGTGATTTTTAAATCTAACATGCAGTTGGAAGGTGTTTTTTTAACTAATGACGATATCCGCAATATGCTTAATGACGTTGTGGTGTAATTTATCACGATAAGTACCATAAATACCATCCTGTTGCCCAGCTCTACTTCACACACTTCATACAGACTCACTTAAAGAGATGCATGTTATTTGGTATTATTGAATGCTTTGTCCTTATCAGCGTGATGGTATTCTGGATCAGCGTGTGCCGATTATTGCTGATTTTTGCTGATACGAGGAAGTGTAAGACATCCAGATATCGGGGTATGTGGGTAGGAGTAAATTGCTGCGTTTTGGCCCAAAGAAGTCGAGGCCTGCTGATCCAAACACGAAAAAGTGCAGGAATCTGAAAAATGGGGCCGACGTAAGCTAAGCCAGTGAGTGTAACTGGAGGTGAGCCAGTGTGGAGCTTCACCCTGTTGAGTCGCATTCCTTGTTTCTGGGATGGGCATTTGAGCCATTTTGCTATGGATTTGCTCATTTGTCCTCTAATAGCATTTGAATACGTTATTTAATACTGTTATGAATAAAAGCCAGTTGTGTGCAGCTAGTGTAGGTGGTAAAAGCACTATCGTGTTAAATCGTCACAGTGGGCTCTTTTAAGCATATCATGCACATCGTCAGTGCTTAAATAACTGACCAGCTGCATGGATTATGAAAAAGGGAGCATAATTAGGCCTGTTTAATTGGATTTAGTGAAGAATGTGAAGCAGGAAATGATGAGCTTTGTACTAGTTTTTGACAACAGTGCTGAATGATTGTGCTGTTGGTGTGATGTGTCTGTTCCAAGTGATCAAATCTACTTGATAATTTGGTTGATTTTGGTGATTTATGTTTTAAAGTCAACCGGTACTTCTTATCCCGGGTCATTTTAAGCATAATTCATCATATATGATTTTGGGGTGGCGGTAATGTTAATCAGTGATGTCACCTCCCCCTCAGAGGTCCTCCCGAATATTGTGCTTTACTTGAAAATACACGTAAATATATATTATTTAATATACTACTGTATCCCCATGTATAGCTTAGTTGTTGACATTTCACCTGGCTTGAGATGCATTGTCAGCTGCTTGTTTCCCAGCGTTCCCTACATCATGCAGTACGCAGGTCTTGCGTTGTTTATTCCTAACTGTGCATGCCTTATTCAGATACCTGACTAAGTAAACGAGAGTGTGTGTATTTGTGTAATAACCATGACCATTCCTCTTTCTTTCTGGCTGTGCGACTGGAGGTGAACAAAGGCCTGGCGTCTGGTTAGTTGGCCCTAACTGGACTAATACGATACTGAAACTCAAAACAGAAGTGGCCTCACACAGACATGTTGCTTTATGTGGTCGCCAGCACTCATGGCCAGAATACAACAGATTTGTGTTGGACGTCTGTCAGCTCCAGATTCATTCTGCTCGGCTAAAGGGGGCCCTATCCTACTTTTTTTTTTTCTTGTGTTTTGTTTCTTCCCACTTAAAGCGTTTGTGTGGTTTTATTTACCAAAAGGAGTCTTAATTCATTCTTCCGTGACCATTTTCCAACTTCTTTTTAGCCCTTAGAATAAATACGCTGTTTTTGTGAACATTTAAGACTTATTTTATATGTCGCTGCTGTCGGAAAAAAACCTTGTATCTCCAAAATAACAATAACTGTTAATGTAAGTCAATGGAACCAGACTTTTTTCCAGGTCATTTTGGGCCATTTCGTTTAGTCCATTCACCATGGAATGTACACACAATGTAAAGGGCATCAGGCATTTTTAGATTGTCAATTATGTCATATATAAGTGTGTATATATATATATATATATATATATATATATATATGTATGTATATGTGTATATGTTATTTACGCTGCTCTAGGCTGAACATGTGACATACAGTGAATTCAAAACAGGCTGTTTTGCTGCTTAGTTTTCATACGTGGACCATATGGACTTGGGCGTAAACAGTGTTTCTTTAAGGCCTACCGCAGTTTTTCTGTGGTATGGACTCTTTAACTGTTGCTGTTTACTCTAAGGTGTTAAGTCAGGCCTCTCTGTCTCACTATGTTTTGATACAGATTTAAGACGAAGGGCTCATGATGTGGTGTTTTAAATGCGGCCTTGTCAAATGTTTAGCCTACACGCCTTCATTTATCACTTAATGTTTCAAAACTTTGTGAGCTTGTTCCAGCGCTGGGGCCTTACACCAGTTTCGCAGCTGCAAACATTATGGCAGGCAGTGCTGGTGTTTAGTTTAAGTTGAACAATTGCCTCGCCTCAGATGAACTTGGAGCAGGTTCAAGTTCAATTCAGAGACTAGATAAAAACCATTCTACGGTTTCGGGTCGTTTGTCCTTGTTCCAGCTTGGCTATCGCTCGTTTTGATTTATGAGACGCTCGGACTGGACTTGGGGAAATGAGGCGCTTTGGTATTGTTAGTGCGGCGGCTGCGTCTTGGCTGTCGCTGCCGGTATTGAGTGCCGGCCGCTTAGCTGACTGTGCCATATTTTATTGGCTGTTTTTTTGCACTCAGGGCAAACATGGCAGAACATGAAGGTCACTGGGGCTCCTCCCTTTGAGGAGGCCTACAGCTTGTTAAGGATGCTTAGACATCTCTCTCTGTGCACCTGGAACGCCTGCTGTAGGCACAAAGAACGCGCTCAGCAGTAGGCGTAGGCCTGTTTTATTCATGATGTACTGCAGTACGAACCCGCGTGATAATCATACCATTTCACATGTTAATGATTGTGTTAATCATGTGTGATTCACATCCCAGGGGAAGTAAACAGCTGTACTCCCACAGTCTTCCTGCAAAATACACAAATGGACAACATGTTTGCAGTTATATGCAGTAAACCATAGTAGTGAAGGTGATTATTTCATATTTATGTAAATTATAGTTGTTTTTTTGGTATTATAGCAAAATATGAGAGGTTCAGTGACGCATGTATCAGTGGCTCACCTGTGGTTGAATTAATTTGGTGTGTATCATTGCTTTGTAAATATTTTCCTTATATTGTAACAACGTAGTGACAATACTGAAAATTCTGCACTGGTATCAGCTAGGCATGTAAATCAATGCGTTTACATGCACTTAATAATCCGATAACTGCAGAAAATCAGATTTTGTCAGTAATCCGATCAACACGTTTACTTGCATTTGAGTAATCAGATAATGGGGAAACTCCAGGTCTACATGAGTCAGACAGTAATCAGATTTCTGTTTTTCAACCAGCCAATAAACTCACAGAAGAAGACGTGACGTAAACGTAATGTAAAACTCAAACTTCATGCCGTGGCTTTTTTTTAAACACTGCGCCACTTTAGCTGAAAATATGAACATACAGAATATTTAAATCTTTCACTTCGTCAATTCGTTTCAGCGTCGCTCCAAAAGTGTTTTGTTGTGTCTTGCTGCAACGCTGCTTGCTCATTTCCAGTACCGCAGTCTGTTTTTGCACATACTCAGACTGAGAAATCCGAAAGAAATCAGAGTAAGAGTTCACATGCACTGAGAAATCTGATTAC